GGGCTAATAAGAATCATCTGGGCAAATGAAGTACTATTCACTTTGCAGACTATAAAACAAGTGTAAATTGCTATTCTTACAGTGATTTGCATCTATGATAGTTTCTGAATGACATTGTTTCAGATTTCATTAATTCAACATATATTTATTAAGTGCATACTATATGAAAATCCTGGTCATAGTCCTTGCCTCTATGGTTTTTTAATTCCAGTGGAGGATGTTGGCCTTAAAATACTAACGAAAATATTAATTATTTTATATATTCATTTTTAGTATGTATTGACAGAGTCCTAACATGAATATGGTACTTTGCTAGGTGATAGACAAGCATGTCTTTAGAAATTAACCTCACTTATCTTATATATTAATGGGATTATGTTTAACCTCTGGTTTATTCTCCCAGATCTAGTTATTTCATTTAGCATGCTTTCTGGATCATTAATGCATCTAATGAAATCATTTAGTATAGAAACTCTGAGATACCATGAAAAGCCATGTTAAGTATTTAAAAAGAATCAACATGTATTATGACTAGAGCATTTTATGTTCTCTCTAAAAGTTATGATGAAAGTAAATGAGTTGATTTTGACATAATTTACTAGCATAACCTTATGCTAGTGTTTGAAAGTGAATTAATTGGAAGAGGAACAGAGAAGGCAAGGAGACTAGTTAAGAAGTTGTTTTAGTAGTTCAAGTGAGATACAGTGGTGACCTGGACTTAGGGTGGTAGCAGGAATGGAGAGAAATGAAAGTGTTTGAGGTATAATTCAATGATGAAGTAAGGGACTTGGGGATTGACTGGGTATAGCATTGAGGAAGGATGAGGATGGAAGAACAGCCCCCAAATTGTTAGAGTGGCTGGTGTATGGCAGTACAATTTACTGACAGGAAACAAAGGAGAGGGAATGATTTGAGGAGAAGTTGACAAAATGTTTAAAGATTGTTTTTTAAAAATAAACATGAGGATAATCGTGAATGTTTTGACAGAGATGAACATGAGGAGAGACTTATCCTACCAGATAGTAAGATTAATTTTAAGGTTTCAGCAATCAAAACAGTGTGATTTTGGTACTAGAATAGATTGACATATGGAACCAATTAGAAAGTCCAGAAACAGATTCAATTAAATGTAAGCATATGGTATATACCTATTGTTACAGGAATTCTATTTCAAAAGAAATAGTTGAATATTTAAACAAAGGTATATGCATAAGAATGTTCCCTTAAAATCAAAACATCGAAATTTCAATATGATAAGATTCACTAAAATAAATCATGACCATGTGTATACTGAGACTTAACCTTAAATTTATCATGTAGACACATATTTGTCATTGAAACTTGTTCAGAATGCATTATTAGAAGTAAATACATATCAGAATACAAAGCATTACATATAATACATATACATATTTATAGATAATATCTTGATATAAGGATATCTTGATATCAATCTCTAGCACTTAGCATAGTCCTAAGTATATATGATAGATTCCCAGTTAATATCTGTTGACCAATAATGCCTTGTATATGAAATTAAGGTCTTGTGAAAAATCCCTTGAACCTTCATCCCACTTTGGGTGGGAAAATGCAGTGTCCTCCTCAAGATTTCTGTAGAACCTACAGGATATCCTGTCTTGGTTCTCCTGATCACCTCTTGCTATAAACTCCTGTATGTGTAGAACTCTTGATTTCATTAATTTTTCTCACCTTGTGTCTGTTCTTGACTCTCTGCCCAATGCCTACATACCTTGGTTAGTTGTACAAAAAGACTCATTCAGAATGTTAATAGCAAATTGTGCTTAATAATAAAACACCTAGGAAATGTTTAAAAGTCCACTGTCAGGAGAATCTGTAAAGTATTATTGTATACCTATACAGTGAATTCTGTTACCACTTTGAAAACAAATGAAACTCAGAAACTTTATATTGATTGAAAAAGTCATAGAAGAGCAAGAATATTTTATACTATTCTTATGAAAGTCAAAAGCATGTAGTACAAAACAATTTATTCTTTACCAATGCTGCTTACATATATAGTTAAATTTCAACAACTCAAGGAACACAAAGTTCAGAACAAATATTAGCCATGGTTGGGGAGGGAGGAGGAGAAATTGGAAAGGGGAGCACAGGTGGGAAGCCTGGGTTTCATGGTAATGTTCTAAACTGAGTAGTGGACACACATAGATTCATCTCATTATTTTATTATATCACATATCCACCCCTCTGTTGAGGGATACTAGTCAGATATTTTGTTGAGTGTGCCTTCTTTAATGAGAAATGATGGCACTTTCTTAGTAAGCAGAAGAGGGTGTATTTCATTGTTGTTTAAAATATTTTTTTCTTTCCTTTGCACACACTCACATGTCCACACACACATTTACAGAGGGAAGCAGTCTGGGAGGATATACAGCAAAATGTTACTATTAGTTTCCTGAGCATGCTGTGTTTTCATGTGATTTTTTTCTTTCTTTATATTTTCTAATATTTCTCTAATAAATAATATACTTCATTTTTAAGGAGAAAGCAAAGTAACGCATTCTGTGTGGTTAAATTACAGAGCATTTTTCAAGGCCATTAAATATTCATAATTCTTTGTAAACAGAGTAAAATTCCAATCTAACTAAATCCATGAAGAATGGGTTGTTCTGATTAATTTGATTTTAAGATGAACTAGGGTTTAAGCTAGGGACTTTTTTCATGACTCTTTGTAATCTTATTATCATTAACTCAGTTTTTACTTTTGACATGTAAAACAGTAAGCAATACCAGTAAAGGATAATAATAACCAAACTGAAGAGCAAAGTAATTTATATCTGAACAAGGCATGATCATTTCCCTAATTGATAGTTAGAATTTTTTAAAAAGGACATTAGAGAGTGTTCATTTGATCAGTAAATATTTATTGCCCCTATATGGCAGGACTTGTATTAGAATCTGGGGATAGAGTGGTGAACAAAACAAATTCCAGCCTTCATGGAGTTTACAGTCATCTGATATATTCACTTTACAATGTGTTTTATAGATAATTTTATCAATACATAGTTCTACTTAAAGATTTCCAGTAATTAGGAGTTTCTTTTGTTGCTTTCTAGTGTATTTTCAGCTATTGTTACATTAGTGCATTTTTGTTTAAAAGAAAAAAAAAGAGGTTAGAGAGGGAGAGAGCCAAAGCATAAGAGACTCAAAAAACTGAGAACAAACTGAGGGTTGATGGGGGGTGGGAGGGCGGGGAGGGTGGGTGATAGGTATTGAGGAGGGCCCTTTTGGTGCACTGGGTGTTATATGGAAACCAAGTTGACAATAAATTTCATATTAAAAATAATAATAAAAAATAAAAGATACGCAATATTATTAATTCATAGAGCTTTTTTTTGTTTGTTTTGACTCGGATTTGCCCTTTTTGACTTATAAATGTTGGTCTTTGTTCTGCCTTTAAGAACTCTGGAATAATCTACCATAGCAACTTCTCCCCATCCCCTGCTTTGTGGGAGAGCTCTTTAGGGATAGCCTTTCAAATGTGTTGAGAAAACTATGATGCTGCTGTAAGGCTTCTCCAGGATAGAACATGGCAGTTCCTTTCATCATTTCATCTGTGACATGATTTTCAAATCATATACCATCTTGATTGCTTTCCCCTGGATACTTTCTACTTTGTCACCCTTTGTTGTTAAAAATAACTTACTCACAATTTCCTGCTTTCAATAGAGTAGAGTGAACATAATTGATTCTTTGATGTGTGAGGGTCTGGTATGGTCTGAAAGCAATTACACTGACCTTGAATACTTATTCTACAGTACTGTAAATACCATTATAGAAAAAATAGGAGCTTATACTAAATCTTTACTGACCTTGGGTCATATCTTGGGAGATTTTTTTGAAAATGAGTTTATTTTTTTTCTTGTCTTTTTCTTTTGATAGTGAACTATGCTTTGTAAAAATAACAAACATCAAAAACAAAACATAATTAATAGTGAAATTCATTATGCAGGTATCTGTTTTTCTTCTCTAGTATACTGTGAACTTTCTGAAGGCAAGGATTGTACCTTATTAGGTTTTAAAAATCTCTAGCACTTAGTATAGTCCTAAGTAGATATGATAGATGCCAAATAATAGCTGTTGACCAATTAATGCCTTGTATATGAAATTAAGACCTTGTGAAATGAAATTAATTCCTATTTTTAGAATGCTTAAAAGAATCAGTAGTATAGAATTGGACCTTCATTTTATCCTAACCTGAAATGACAAATAAAATAAAATAAAATAAAATAAAATCCCTATTAGCAATGGCTCAAACAACAAGGACTTTTTTTATTTAAGAAGTCTGTAGTAACTAACCAGTCCTGGGGCTCTTTCAGTCCTGGGGCTCTTTCAGTAGCTCCGTGATATCATCAAGGTCCTAGGCGTGTTTCATCCTTCTCTTGCCATTCTTAGCCTATTACCTTTTTGATCTTAAGGTTATTACCTTATGGTCACAACATTCCTGTCCTGTGTGCAGACATCAAAATTGCATCCAGAGAGAGGAAACTGAGGGTGGCTAAGGCTCTGAAAGAGCCCCATTGCATGTTTCTTTCTCTGGGGAAAAATATTTTTCCAGAAGTCTCCCTTTTATCTAACTGGCCAAAATTGAGTCACATGGCTGGCTATCCCTAGGAAGCTGGCAAGGGAGTAGAGTCTTGGGAATAACTGTTGATTAAACGACAGTTTATGCCACAACTAGAAAATAGCCATATACTACAAAAAGAGATCATGACAAAGGATCATGAACTTAAGTATGTCAGTGATAAATTCAGGGGAACCGAACTGTCAGGAACCTTTGAAAAAGATCACTGATAATATTGGGGTTACATGATGATATAACTTATTCAAACAGATGAATCAGCATCTCTTAATCAGTTTTGGAAGAACTGATGAATCTGATTATCTTTTCTAGTTTTTATAAATCAAACAAGCTGTGTCTTTATCACAAAGCTATTTTTATTTTTTCTCCTTCCTTTCAGGAGTCCTATCCAAAGAAGAGGAATTACACTATGGAAATTGTACCATCTGCTTCTCTCGATACATTTCCTTCAGAAAATGAGAACTTTCTATGTGATCTCACGGACATAGCAGTTACAAAGAAACCTTGCTCCTTAGAAATTGCAAGGGCCCCTTCTCCAAGAACTGGTAATATTTCCTTTTCTAATATTAATTTTTTTGTAGAACGGGTAATATTTCTTACATTGGACCAATTCAGTTTGCATGCTTGTGTGTGTGAAGAGGCATCATTAATATTTTGATTTTCCACAATATTTTAAACATGAAAGTGCCCCAGTATAGTCACACTAATCATTTTTTGCATTTTGAATGAGTCCCAGAAGTCAGAGTTTTCGATACAGTGTCTCTTAACTTCCTGACAAGAGTGGTACTGCCTTGGTGAAGGCACTTTGAAACCTTGCAAAAGTGAAAAACCTTTTAGGTCAGATGCAAAACTTGGGGTTCGTTAAGAAAAAAAAAAACCTTGAGGTCCTTTAGAACTTCATAGCAGATTTGGTAGCAAGTCTTTTAATATACTTTTCTGCATCCTGTTTTCTGTTTATTAAAATGTACTCAGGTACTTTATATATTTTATATCTTTCATGCTATTTTCAGATCCATTATTTTATTTATTTTCATTATCAGTTAGTGTACAAGTTAAGTAAACATTATGCCCATTTTACTGATAAGGAAATTGGAGTGTGTCTTATTTAAGTGTCTTATTTAAGTGTCTTATTTAAGATCAATACATAAGGGGGCCTTTCTTGAACATGAGTATTTGACTATCATTATACCTCTGTTACTTCACCACCGCCTCTAAGAAAGAATGCAAGATAGTAACATGAACTCTAATGATGGAGGAATGTTTCAAGTGGGTGGTCAATATATTCAATGCTGCAAAGAAGTTGTAAGAGAAACTTAATAGAGGGATTTTTGGTTTGACAATCCAATTGCTGCTTAATTTTGAAAAGTAAGTTTTATAAGTGATGAAATAAAATTTTCAGATTTCTGGAAGTTAACAGTGAGACAGACACTGGAAAATGGGAGAGTACAGATTACCCTTTCAAGAAGATTAGAAGAAGAGATAGGATAGTAACATGAGAAAAAAAGAGGTGCAAGGGAGAAATATCTAGTTTTATTTTAGAATAAGTCAGCCTTGGTCAAGTTCAGAGGTTAAAGCAATTTGCTGGTGGAGAGATTAAAGATAAAAACTAAGAAGAAAGAACACAATGGGTAGAGAAGACCCAGACATTACTTCCCCCAGAGAGAAGATAGAGCATTGTTATGAAAATAGAGAAATTCTGAACTGTGTATTTCCAAATGGATTACATTTCTGGATTCAGATAAAAAGTCATTGGCTGAAAAGAAGAGGTAGGTCTTGAGAAGGATTAAAGTAAAATTCAGAAATGCCATTTTAGATAATAACTGAGAAATTTTATAGAAGTGGACAAATGAGAAAGCATTGAGACAAAGGGTGTTGTATGAGTCATAAGCATGCAGAAGGAGCATTTTTAGGATGAGGTAAGAGCATAATAATGAAAATAGTTCAAATTTATTCAGCATTTACTAAGTGCCAGATACTGTTCTAAGTACTTTATATGCCTTATTGCATGTAATTGTTACAATGCTATCAGGTAATAATATCATTATTACCATTTTAAAAATGAAGAAACTGTAACACTGAAATATTAGGTAACTTCCCAGAGTTCTTTATTAATAAGGGATAGGTCTTGGACTTGCATTTGGTTGTCCAACCTGTGCTTTTAAATACTATGTTATACTTTATATTGGGGGATGAAGTATAGTTGAAATCATGAACCACATGCTGAAATTCTCAAGAAATGTGGAGGTATGACTGGAAGTTCACATATGGTAGCAACAAAATCAGAAAAAGAATGTTATAATAGGATAGCATGATCTTCAGAAAAGCAGCAGATATTTGATAAAAGTGGAATAGTGAGTTATCAGAAGTAGTCACAAAAAGTGAAGTCAGTGCTGATCCCAAACTATGGCAGTTGACAAGAATGAAAACTGTTCCAGGGGCTCCTGGGTGACTCGGTTGGTTAAGCGACCAACTTTGGCTCAGGTCATGATCTCGTGGTTCGTGAGTTCAAGCCCCACTTTGGGCTCTGTGCTGACATCTCAAAGCCTGGAGACTACTTCAGATTCTGTGACTCCCTCTCTCTCTGCCCCTCCCCTGCTCCTGCTCTGTCTCTCTTTCTCAAAAATAAATAAATGTTAAAAAAAAAATTAAAAAAAAAAAGAATGAAAACTCTTCCATAGGAGAGGTAACCAGGAAATACTGGGAGGTCAGGGCAAAGCTCAGTAAATATAGAAAAATAGAAGGCATACATGTATAAAATGTAAAAGAGCTTTAATTAGGGCACAGAAAATATGGATGTGTTGTGGGTGGTGGAGGCAGGAATGAAAGAGTCAAAGACAGGGATTTATTCATTAAACAATCAAAAACTAATTGAGTTCCTTCATGTGCCAAGCAGTGTTCTATATGCTGAGGATACAGGGATGAAAAAGACATTGACCCAGGTAACAAGGCTGATTAGGCTTCTCCTGCTAAAAACAATTAAATATGCTAGCTAAAAATACAGAAAAGAAAAACTTAAAAGCACAAAAAAGGTAACAGGAAAATTATAAAAATTGAATAACGTATAAATTAGGAAACTTTTTGGGGTTAGTAGGTTAGTAAGATATAATCAGACCAAAACATTCATGAAAGTGGGAAACCAGTGGATTACTAAAGCTATTTTGTACTGAGGGAATTTTCTGAACCTGCTGTTGAATTCTGGTGCTTAATGCCTCATAAACCTCAAGGTTTATGTAGAGAAAAAAATCTCTGTGCCTGTCCAGCGTGGAGACCCTAATAGGAAAATCTTCCTCCATAGAGCTGGGATTCCAGGGGCTATACCTCACAGTAATCAGAAATAAACTTGTCCCATAATCCCCACCCCAAAGAAAGATGATTTGTTGTGAGAAGAACAAAGAGGGAAATTCCTGAGGTGTTATTACCAACAAACTGGTCCTCACACAAATATGTACCACAAATTTCTATCACCTAAATGGTCCAAAAACTGTCAACCCATGAATTTAATTTAAAGTAATACCCTCATTGAGCTCCTGCCCCACATTGGGTGAGCCCTGCTCCTCTGCCTCTCCCTCTCCCTCTCCCTCTCCCTCTCCCTCTCCCTCTCCCTCTCCCTCTTCCTCTCCCCCTTTCTCTCTCCCACTACCCCTCCTGGGATTCTCTCTCTGCCTCTAAAGAGGAATATGCTCTTTTTATAGGCCCCAAATACTTTTCTGATTAATATTAGCAGTGTACAATAATTAGTCTAAGGAAAGAAACCTTGAAACCAGAATCACAAAAACAAGAAATAAGAGATCCACATGTGAAAAGACTTCAAATATTGGAATTATCAGGTGCAGGCTGAAAAATGACCATGCTACTATAAACACACACACACACACACACACACACACACACACACACACACACACGCACAAACTACCTCAGATTTCAAACTCATTGGATAAGTGGAACATCAGATTAGATTCAGTTGAAGGGCGATTTAGTGAGCTGGAAATTAGGGCAGAAGAAGTTTCATAGAATGTTGCACAGAGAGACAGAGATGAAAAATTTAATGTGAAGGTAAGAGACTTGGAGGATACACTAGAAAATTCTAATTTGTTTATTTAAAGCTTCAGAAAGAGAGGAGAGGGAAAATGAGGCAAAAGTAACATATTTGAAGAGCTAATTTTTCCAGAAGACACAGGCCTGTTCTTGCACTCTCATGGAAGCAGACAAGTGAATAGTTAATTTCAATAGAGTGTAATAAATTTAAGTCAATGTTATACAAAGTATTTGGGGAACAGACAAAAGGAACTTAACTTCACCTGGGAGCTCGGGGAAGACTTCATGAAGGAGATGATGTCTGTGTCAGTTATCTATTGCTATTTAAAAAGTCACCCCACTCAGTTGGTTAAGCGCCTGACTTCAGCTCAGGTCATGATGCCACAGTCCATGAGTTCGAGTCCCCATTGCGTTCTGTGCTCACAGCTCAGAGCCTGGAGCCTGCTTTGAATTCTGTGTCTCCCTCTCTCTCTGCCCCTACCCCACTCATGCTCTGTCTCTGTTTCTCAAAAATGAATAAACGTTAAACAAAGTTTAAAAAGCCATCCCAAACTTACTTAGAGGAACATCAGTCATTGAATTTGTTCACAAACCTGCAAGTTTGGTGAGTTCATTTGACAGGGACAGCTTATCTGTGCCACTTGGTATGAGTTGGGGCTGCTCAAGTGGGGGATAAGGGACCTATTTTCAAGATGGCCCACAAATGGCTGGCAAGTTGGTGATAGCTTAGAGTTTGGCTAGGTTTATGGGCTGGGGAGCATTTTTCCTCTTCATGGATTGCTTGGTTTCCTCATGACATACTGGCTAGATTATGAGAACAAGCATCTGAAAAAAAAAAACAGGTGTTATTTTTACTATCTAGCCTTAGAAGTCACAGATAATCACTTATACTATATAATTCCATGTCTACTCAGATTCAAGGGGAGAGAATATGAACCCCACTTCTTAATGGAAGGAGTGTCAATGGTGCTTTGTAATAAAAATGGGAGATACTTTTGCTCTCAATTTTGGAAAATAAAATCTGCCGTCATCTGCCCTTTGGGCACAATAATTTATATCCTTTTCCAAAATGTCTTTTAAAATAATTGTTTTTAAATGTTTATTTTTGAGAGAGAGAGAGAGAGAGAGAGAGAGAGCAAGTGGGGGAGGGGCAGAGAGAGAGACAGAGACAGAGACAGAGACAGAATCCGAGGCAGGCTCCAGACTCTGAGCTGTCAGCACAGAGCCTGATGCGGGGCTTGAACTCACGGAGCATGAGATCATGAGCTGAGCCGAAGTCAGACGCTTAACCGACTGAGCCACCCAGGTGCCCCAATATATCCTTTTCCTATGGAAATTATACTTGTTTATACCTTCAGGATTTCTAAACACTAGCCTATTATTACAAGCTCCAAATCAAGTTTCAGGTGTGCATGCATCTCCCTGGTGTAGTTCTGATGGTGCAGGTTCTTGACTGCCTTTGCTCTTGGCAGTGATGACCTGAGACCAGTTTTCAGTCTTCTTTCCT